TGTGTGTGTGTGTGTGTGTGTGTGTGTGTGTGTGTGTGTGTGTGTGTGTGTGTGTGTGTGTAGCGTGCTGACGTGTGGCAGGAAGTTGTTGGGTCTGTGGCCTTCAACCCCGGGGAGGAGCGGAAACGCCCGAACAAGTTCGCCCAACTTCAGCCAGCCAGACAGCGTCATCCTACAGGTGAGCGCTGCCACAGCTGCTAGCACCTGAATAGTCTGTGACATCACAAACCTGTAGCATTTTGAGCAGTTTCATCAGCTGTTCAGGCGACGTTTTCATTGTCACCAGTCACCAGGATGGGTGATGAAACGTGTTTACTTACCTGTGTGCTGGATGCAGGTGTGCCCCTTTCTTTATTTATACACTCAGTTCAGCTGAGGTCAGACCTGCAGGTATCTGAGGCCAAGAGACTAGCATGTGTGTGTCCTTGCTTCCTCTCAGGTGGACTTCCCCACATCATCCTTCGAGGTGCGCTTCAGCACGCCGCCTCCTGCAGACTTCTGCCCTCAATACAACTTCTCCAGACTGGACACCATCAGCCAGATACAGCTGCAGGACGTCCTGCACAAGAAGGCCTTCTTCTGGTCAGACACACACACACACACTCTCTCAAGGGCTGTATCCCAATTCAGGGTCTGCAGCCTATAAGGCTGCATTTTAAGGCCGATTACGTCACAGCGACGCAACGAAGGCTGTCCCAATTCAAAGGCTGCTCGAAATGCGGCCCTCAAATGCGTCCTTAATTTCTCCGGATTTGAAGGATGGGTCGGTGTAGCCTTCATGGCCCAACATATCCCAGACTTCATAGTGCGGCAGTGGGTGTGGATGATTTTGTCGAAAAAAACAGCGGACAGCTGAAGCGGAGCGGCCGAAGAGTAAACTTTTAAAAGTAAGTACTGAATATTGTGTCACTTATTTATGTGCAAATGTTTAATAATGAAGAACATTAAAACATTCCTGTTGGCCACATGTCGGCAAAGTTATGTGACGTTAGTGACGTTTGTACTAACTTGTTTTAAAGCCTTTAAATATACGCCGTTCAATAGCTGAGCTTAATCTGACAGAGAATGTGATGATTTTGTGGATAATTAAAGTCAGTCATATATCCACAAACACAACAAGCTGAAAGTCAGTGATGCTGCTCGGTTTGCAGTCCTGAACATC